CTATCTTTGTCACCCCGCCGGCTCGGACTGGTAGTTGGATGGTCCCAAGCGTCATCAAAGTTTCCCCTGAAAATCCGAGGACAGGCCTCGGGGTCGGAATCACCTGTGACATGTCGATGTTCATTCGTTGGAGCGTTTCGCGAAAGATCACGTCAATGGTGCTGCCGGTGTCAATTAACACTCGGTAAATGTCGTGGTCTCCTATCGCTAATGTGACGACGATTGGGTCGTTATGAGGCATGTCGAGCCCGTTTGTCTCGCTCTCTTCGAATGTGATCACGTCGTTAGGTCGATCGAAGGGTCTTGTCCAGTTGCTAGGTGTCTCGGCTCGGCGTTGATAAGCTTTGATTGCCGCTACAGTGTCAGGACAGTATGGCGATCCACCCATTATGGTAAAAACCTTCTGCCGCGTACCATCTCGGTCTTCGTCTTCCGATCCCCGGGTTCTTTTCTGAGGCTCCTGGTTCCTTGGTTCGGGGTCTCTTCCTGGGTTGGTTTGCTCGGGCTCCGGTTCTGGCTCGAGGTCCTTAAGAGTAACGTTTGTCCCGAGCTCTCCAGCTAGGAATTTGGTTGCTAACTTGGCTCCGAGGCTTCGGCATCTCGAGGTATGATGGCCGAAAATTTTGTGGTGTTCGCAATATTCTTGATCATTGCTCGGTGGCTGATCCCTTGTCCAGGTGAAGGACTCTCTTCCCCGCCCACGGCCTCGGCCTCTGCCGCGGCCACGGCCTCGGGGTGTGTCGATTTGGTAGCTATGGTATCCTGAGAAATTGCGCCCTTCATGATGCGTATATGTACTGCTCTCACGCGTCTTCTTCTGGATTGGAGGTGCCGCTTGGGCTTTCTCAGTTTTCTCGGCTCGGGACGCCTGTTTCGTCGGCTCGTGCCTCTTTGCTAGTAGCGCCATTTCTTCTTCGTGGGCGACGAAATCCGAGGCTCGATGCAGCGCGTCACGAATTGTTGTTGGTTTAGACAGGTTCAACTCTTTCCTGAATTCTGACTTGTACCAGAGAGCTTTCTTCAAAGCCGAGAGAGCTGCTACATCTGTAATTCCTTCGACCTTGGCTAGCGTCGATTTGAAGGTCTTGAGGAAATCCCTTAATGGCTCGGTGGGCTGTTGAGATAAGGACCATAGATCCGCGTCGGAAGTTCCGGGGTCGATGAGCACGGAGTATTGTTTGAGGAACAATGTCGACAGTTCGTCGAAACTATCAATCGAGTTTCGTTCCAATCTTGAAAACCACTCTAATGCGGGTCCTTTGAGGTGTTCCACGAACAGTAAGCACAGACCCGCATCCTTTTCTCCGGGCTTAAACCTGGCTCGGGCCACAGATATCACGAACGATTTAATGTGGCACTTCGGGTCGGTTGATCCGTTGTAGGAGTCGATTCTGAACTTTCCCAGGTTGGACATCGTCGTCTCAGAAATTCTTTTGGTGAAAGGCGTATTCCGAGATTCTTCCAAAATTCGGTCGATGTTCGGCGCGGAGGATGAGACGCTATGTATCTGGGTTTTGACGAGCTTCATATCGGCTTCCGCCTTGGCTAGGGAGGCTCGGATCTTGCTTAGCTCGTCTTCTCTTTCGGATTCTTCGGCCCACCTTATGTTTTCCTCAGTTTCTTCGTCATCAGTGAGATCTGTTCGCTCGGCGGAGTTAGCTCTGGCTCGGGTACGTTCGTCTTGCAGATCATCTGGCTCGTCCGTCAAGTCCACTGCGTCTGGCTCGGTGGGATCATCCTGGTTCTCGCGCCTGACAGGGTCGGCTCGGGTTGCGACTCTGGTATTGCCGGTTGGTGTCGCGAACGTGAGTCTCGTTGGGTTGATGCCAGGCAAGTCCCTCCGAGCTCGTGGTGGCCGAGTTTGGAAACGTGTGGTTTTTTGTTGCCCGCGTGTTGCGATTTCGTCGACTCGCTGCGCCAAGGTTTGGTTGGCTTTCTCTTGGTCGTCAGTTTTCTTCTGGAATTTAACCATCAGATCTTTCAGTTCGGCTAGAGTCGCTAGGATCGTCGGATCGGCGGGTTGAGGATTCTGAGGGTTCGGAGGGTTCGGGATTCCTCCTCCAGCTGGTGGCGACTGACGACCGTCTTCGTTCATCATGCTTTTCAGTAATCGAGTTCTGCGTCTTAGGGTAAGAGAATTCTAAAGTATCCCCACAGACGGCGCCAAACTGTGGAAGTCGAAACTAACACAATCAAGATTTGTCTAGGGTTTTATTTTAGGGATACGATAATCGTGAATTCTCAAAGAACAACAGAAACGATTGATACCAAAGATGGTGTTTTTGATATTATTAATGAAAAGACGATTTTGATCGTACAAGAGTTTGATCGTAAAAGAAAAAAGTGTTTGCGCTGTGAGAGCTGTGCGTAGTGTAATTTCTAGAGCGATATTGCCTGCCTTTCGTTTGAGCCTTGAATCTCTTTATATAGGGATGATGAACCGCCTCTCCAGCGATATTCTCGGAAGATTTCCATTTATCTTGAAGTCGGCCAGAATATCGCGGATTTAGGACAATTTCCTTATTCTTCGGAGTTTTCGGAAGATTTCCCGATTTGAGTTGATCCTTCGCGATTCTTCCTTATCATTTCCGAGTTTATCGGAAATGATCCTTCTTTTTCGGAAATGATAACTTGCTTGGAAATGATACCTTTAGAGAAGAATATTTACTAAGTCTTTGCTTCGGGCGATGATGAAGGCTTCGCCTCGGAGAACTTATGCAACCGGCTCGGGGACAAGAGAGGCGTGGCCTAGGCTCCCGAGGGAAAGCGGCTCGGGTTCACGGAAAGATCCAGCTCGGGGGCCTCGACACAAATCGGCTCGGTTTCCCGAAGTGAACCGGCTCGGGCATTCGAAGGGAGCCGGCTCGGGTTCATAAGCCTGCTGACAGACCCCGAGCAGACTATGGGTGTTCCCCGAGGTGATTGATGCGATGACCCGAGGCGAGTGGCAATCTGACCCGAAGTGAATGGCAGTTCGACCTGAGGTGAATGGCAGTTCGACCCGAGGTGTCTTCAGAAATTCCCTGAGGCGTTCGAAGTTCGGCTCGGTGCTATGGGATGAAATCCGACCCCAACACAAACAGATACTGGTAATTTTAATGAATGACATGTATCAATTAAAAATGACACTAGATTTGAAAGAAAAACATTAAAATGACTTGAAATTTGTGAAAACTACAGTGTTTTCAAAAAATATAGCTTGTCAAAGGAAATAATAGCATTCCATTTCAGAAAATATAGCGTGTTAAAAAAATTTAGTGTGTTGAGAAATAATAGCATGCCATGTAAAAACGAATAGCATGTTATATGAAAGGTGGTGACGGTGGCTATAGAGGTGGTGGTGGTCGTTACAGAAGTGGCGGTGATGGATACGAAAGAAAGAGGTAGCAGATATTTCAAATATGGGTGGAGGCGGTGTTGTCGAGGTTTATACTGTAGTGGTGGTTTAAGAGGTGGCGGTTGGTGGTGTCGATACGATTCGACGGATAAGACGTTGTTGTTGGTGGTGTCGCTTTCGATTGAGAAGAGAAAGAGCAAAAGATATTTCTATTTCGATGAAAAAAAATTGATTATGGGTTTGGGCATGGTTGTGGTGAAGAAGACAAAGAGGATGAGAGTGGTCGAAGATGGATGGAGATAAAAAAAAAAACAAAATTAAAAAAGAATAATGGAGAAAGAATATATAAAGGTTGTAAGTGTAATATACATAGTCTCCTCGACAAGATACTCTTGTTGAAGGTTAGTTTCTTCATTATTTTCTGTTTCATAGTTAGTTTATGCATATTCCCTATAATCTATCTACATTAATCTTTGTACAAAAGAGGAGTTCCTTAAAAGTGAAATTCCATGAATATGTAAAAGTTATCTACACACCACATGCCATGCTTTAACATCCAATAAAAATGATGAAGGCTTTTCAATTCGATTAAATAACATATCATACTTTTCAATGTTTTCATCATTTGAGGAACAATGATCAGCTTTGAAATTATTAATATCCCGAGTTCGTACCAATGCCTATAACTACGAAAAAGAGAGTAATAATAAAAGGAAAAGAAAAATTGGTTTTATTAGATGGGGTCAGTAGAGAGTAAAAGAGAATGATTATCAAGGGTGTCTTAAAAATGTCTCTTAGGAATATTAAAATAATAAATTTAAAAATGGCTCTTAAAAATGGTTCTTAAGTGTGTATTTGTTTCTTAGGTAAGCAACTCACCTTAGCTTTAAAGCTTATTTGGGAATTAATTTTAATCATTTAATTGCTAAGATCATCCTAAGAAAATCTTAAGATCCTCTTGTTGATCATGGTCTAATACATAAGCTATTAATATTAGATTGTAAAAAGAGAAATACAAAACCAATTAATTCCATAATATTAGTAGAAAAATAACAAATAATTCCTTGATATAGAAGGCAAAAGTTCTAGCCAATCATGTCATGCTAAATGCTGAGTTATATAGACAGACAGTAAAGGAATGGTTGGCAAAAAGAATATAGATAGTAAAATGATGAGAAAATTAAAGTATCTTTCCATCTAAAAGTACCATAATTTTAGTATAATGATGAGAAATTTATTGAAAGTATCATTCATGTCTAAAGGGGTATTGCTCCAAATATTATTGAAAAAGTATTGTTTTCAAAAATACCACAAATTTTTAGATAGTTTTTTACATTTACTATAGGGTTAGAAAAGATTTCAAAATTTCACAAACATTTCTTACAGATTTTTTGAAAGAAAAAAAATTACTTAAATTTGAGAAAATTAATTAAATTACGGTTTGGTACTGAAAATTTTTATAGCTTGATTTCTCATAGAGAAATTTTTTGAAATCATCTTCCTTTTTATATCAACCATACCACTCAAAAAAATATTATATATCATTATCGACTGTATTATACTTTAGCTTTTCCTTTCCGCTGTAAAATTTTTAATAAATATTATAGGGTTCAATATTATATCTAGTGAACCATATACTTTTGTGCTTTCTGCTAAATTTGATTATACGAAAGTTCCCAGGTGGTGTGTCAAAAAAGCTAATGATTTCTCAAGGTAATCGCTAAACCTTAAAAAAAATAATTTACATCTGAGAAAAGAAAATAAATTATTTTATTACAACAACCACTCATATATATGTTTCTCTATAACAGATCCTGTCCAAAATCAAAACTTTCAGACAAAGAACTGTTTTTTCAGTCAAATTCTTCATCACATCATTAATGGGTCGAACCAATTGACGAAATTTCGGTCGTTGAGCTCTCTCTACCGTCGCCGGCAGCCCACCGGTTTCTTTCCGGCGAACTGAAATCGGACTGTACCAATCTCTGGCCGTAATTTTCGCCGGAGACCATCTGTTATCAATTCCCAATTTCGACAAAAACCCAGGATTTGTTTTTTTCCGGCGAACCGGATTCGACTTCTCCGGTTAACCGGAGATGAAGTTCATGGAATTAGGGTTTCGACCTGACACATTCTACACTGTGGAATCTGTAAGGTAAAAGACTTAACCAATCGTCTCTCTCAAATTTTCGAATCCTCTGTTTCAATCAATCTCAGATCTTTTGACTCTGTTCTGTTTTAAAAATTTCAGGTCTGTGTCTTCTGATCTATTGAATGATCTTATAATCCAAGTCAAATCCACTAAATACCTTCTTCACAAGGTTTTAAAAGTTTCATTTTTTTTTGTTACTCATAACATTTCAAGTTTTGATTTCTGATTTTTTTGTGTTTCTTGGCAATGCAATTTACAGTTTCCGATGTTATCCAAATGCTTGCGTTTGAAGAACTTAGTCTCTTCACAAGAAACAGAAACCTCCCAAGAGCAGCAAGTGATTCAACTTGTTGATTTTCCCGGTGAAACAGAAGCTTTTGAGCTCTGTGCTAAGTTCTGTTATGGTATTACAATCACTCTCTGTGCTCACAATGTAGTCGCGGTACGTTGTGCAGCAGAGTATCTCGGAATGACGGAAGAAGTAGAGCTCGGCGAGACCGAGAATCTTGTTCAGAGACTTGAGCTTTTCTTGACTTCTTGTGTGTTCAAGAGTTGGAGAGATTCTTTTGTTACTCTTCAAACCACAAAGGTGTTACCTTTATGGTCTGAAGATCTTGGGATCACAAACCGATGCATCGAGGCGATTGCCAACGGTGTATCTGTATCCCCTGGTGAGGATTTTTCGACCCAATTGGAGACGGGTTTGTTGAGAAACCGGTCAAGGATAAGAAGAGATGAAATCTTGTGTAATGGTGGAGGAAGTAAGGCAGAGAATTTGAGGTGGTGGGGTGAAGATTTAGCTGAATTGGGTTTAGATCTTTACCGGAGAACAATGGTGGCGATAAAATCATCAAACCGGAAGATATCTCGGCGGTTAATCGGAAATGCTCTTAGGATCTATGCATCTAAATGGCTACCAAGCATCGAAGAAAGCTCTGCGGATTCAAATCTTGTTTTGGAATCGGTTATTTCCCTTCTACCAGAGGAAAAATCCTCTGTTCCTTGCAGTTTCTTGCTTCAGCTACTGAAAATGGCAAATGTTATGAATATTTCGCCTTCTTCGAAGATGGAACTCGCGATAAAAGCCGGGAATCAACTGGATAAGGCAACCGTTAGCGAGCTGTTGATACCCTTATCGGACAAGTCAGGTATGTTATACGATGTAGATGTTGTGGCGATAATGGTGAAGCAGTTTCTGTCTCATATCAGTCCGGAGATAAGGCCAACAAGAACAAGAACTGAACATAGAAGGTCTCGTTCTGAAGAAAACATCAATTTGGAAGAGATACAAGAGATTAGAGGATCTTTGTCTACTTCTTCTTCTCCTCCATTGTTGGGTAAAGTAGCAAAGCTTGTTGATTCTTATCTTCAAGAAATTGCAAGAGATGTGAACTTAACAGTGTCGAAGTTTGTTGAATTGGCTGAATCAATACCGGATGTTTCAAGGATTTGTCATGATGATTTATACAAAGCGATTGACATCTATCTTCAGGTAGAATAAAAGCCAACAAGAAGCTATTATCCATTTTAACACACTGAGAAGCATCCAACACTCTTGCTCTATATTGCAGGTTCATGAGAAGATTGAAAAGTGTGAGAGAAAGAGGTTATGCAGAATCTTGGACTGCAAGAAACTATCAGTAGAGGCAAGCAAGAAAGCTGCACAGAACGAGCTGCTTCCATTGAGAGTGATCGTGCAAATCCTCTTCGTCGAGCAAGCACGGGCCACAATAGCTACGACAACAAACAACATCACCACTAATGAAACAGCGGTTTTGAAGAGAAGCTTTACAACGAGAAGAGAAGAAGGAATAGAAGAAGAAAGAGATGAAACTAAACCAAGTGGAGGGTTTCTTCAGAGCACACCTTCGAGGTTTATGGCGTTGTGTGCGATCCCGAGACAGCCTAAGAAGATGCTCTGCAAGTTGTTGTCGATCAGTAGGAGTTTAAGTCAACGAATTTAAGAAGATTTGATTGTGGAAGTATTTATCATTTTTTTTCTACCGCTTTCTTGTTGCTCAAGTCAAATTGTCTTCGTCGTCCTTGTGAAGCTTATTTGGTTTTGAAAAATTCATTTGTCACATGACATTGTATAACCCAACAATAAAGAAAATATATATAATCTTTCTTTCATAATTTTTGTGTAGTTTAGTGTGGTGGTTTAATGATAAATTGATTCTTTTTAATTTCATGTTCTGTTTATTGTTGTCATTTCTTGATATGCTCCAGTCAAAAAGTAAACCAAAACTGATTGGAATTAGTCGCAGGTAAAAATGATTTTGAAGCTCAATCCGTATATTTCTAATTACTTTCTTGAATTTTTTTTCAAGAAAATTCATATTAAGTTGTAGTTTTGTTGTCATGTAAATGTTTTTTTATAGAAATACTTCAACTACTAGTTAATCTGTTATTTACAAATATGTTGTGGTTGACATTACACCAAAAAAGTGATGAAATTTGTAGTAATATAGATAGAATCTACTACTAATATCTACCTAACAATGAGTATAGAATTCACTAAAAACCATCTTTTTTTATCCCGGAATTTTCTCGTTCCTTTAATTTTCTTCCCCGCAACAAATTGACATTCCGTTTTATATAGATGAATTGACAGTCCGTTCTCTTCACTATAAGAGTAGTTGGTTCTCTTCACCACAACAAATACCACAACAAATATAACTAAACTACTCTTTAACTTACCTTTTTGACATTTCTCGTTTGTTTCATGGCGATGAGAGGTGTTGGTTTCAAGTGGTAAGTTCTCACTTACTCGTCTCTTTCTAACCATGAATTGGTTCAGATTTCGATCAGTTATGTAAAACTGATACGATGAATTGTTCTGCAGGTACGATTTATTTTTCTTGATGAGGCTCGCAGCTGATTTGTATCCTTTATAACTCTCTATACCTTGTCTATTAATGATTCTCTAGATAGATCGCACCATTCGAAATTCCTTAAATGTTTCCTTGATGTTTTATTTTGTTCTGTAGAGCCAATGTAGCTCTGAATTGGAACAAGTATCTTCTTTGCTATAAACCTCTGCCTACATGGCTTGTGGTAGGTGTCCTTTGCTTATCATCCAGCACCTTCAGTTCTTCTCTTTTCTACTTAAGAATTTGTTGTATTTGTCTCTGTTTTCTTTAGGTCGATACCACAACCGTGTTTATCTTTCGCCTTTTGATGTTTGTTGACCATTGGCTTGCTACTGGACTTGCCTTATAAGTTGTTTCATGCTTTGCATTTTCATGTTACATTTAAAACATATATCCCAATTTCCTATAAAAAAAAACTCAGTCGATCGGAACATCTAGGATTGTTGGTAGTTTCACATTGTTTCTTATCACTTGAATCATGCTTAGGGATTTTGGAAGGCAGCAGCGCGAGCTACATCAGCTAAGAATTCGAAGTCCGTTCTATATAGATGAATGTTTACTAAAGTACTCTTTATATAGAAGTCCGTGTCTCTCAATGTTCACTACAACAAATTGACCTGAGCTACATCAGCTAAAAAAAAAGTTTGATTATGATATTTTGAGAGACACGAATTTGATACTTGAGACAAATTTGGAAATGTAATTCGCGTTAACGGCTCTTGTAAAGGTGCTTTTTATACATTTAACAGTGAAGAGTTGATCCATGACCTTACATTTGATCAATAGCTCCTGATTCTTGTTCTTGATCAACAAAATAAGATTTTGAATAATATCTAATCCTTTTGAGCTAATTGGCTTGGTTATCTTAGAAGTTGGAGCTAATAAATTTTGTTTAAATTAGTTGTTTGGTGGTTGATTAATAAATTGATTATTAGTAATTTCTCTTTCCCTTGATCTTGGCATTTCTTGATAATTGTTCCTAGATTAGTTCATTTCAAGTAAAAAACTGAGCAAAAACTAAGCAAAAAAAAGGAGAAATACTAAAATATTACTAAACTAAGTTTTTGTTCTATAATTACTATCATTAGTTTTTTTCAAAAATACCACAAGAAAATCCAAAAAAATAAAAATAAAATAATTAATATTTGCTAGAAATAAACCTGAATTTTACAGTAAACAAAACAAACACAAACTATTATTTTTTTTCCAATTTCTTTTTGTTTTCGTTACAGCCGTTATTTTTGGAAAAATTTCTGGATAAAATAAGTTATTTAATTTTGCCAAAAAATACATAAATTAACATTTATCTTCTCTTTTTTTCTTCCATTAATGTAAGATGCTTAAAGCTCATATATAGCTTTATGTGCTCAGAGCTCATAACTATATGTGCTCTCTTGAACCTCATACAAGTTCTCATTATCTCATAAATATATGTGCTCTCTTGAACCTCATACAAGTTCTCACTACTTCTTAGGACAATTAAATTGAAGAACAAAATTACACAATTAGATAAGTCGATTTCCAAACTTCTCAATTAGTTTTGTTCTTGCATGACTTAACAAATTCTTGGACTTCATCAACACATGAACTCCAAATTTCATGAGAGCCCCGAAAACTTTTGTAGCCCTTTCAGAGATTCTCTAAATAAAACAAAAAAAATTACTTCAAATCAAACAAAACCCACCAAAATTGAAGCTAAAGATAGTTTAATCAAACCAATGTAACGCTAAAAAAATCGACTAATCTAATTGTGTTTTTTTTTAATTAGGAAATTGGGAAATCAACTAATCTAATTGTGTATTTTTTGTTCTAATTCGAAAATTAGAAAATTGATTAATCAAATTGTATATATTTACTCTTGGATTTTATTGGGAAATTGACTAATCTACAACTATTTTTGTTTGGATTTTATATTGTATGATTCAACATTCAACATTTTTCTCTTATCTTCTTCGATTAACAATGTCATGTAAGTTCTGCTCAGCCATTAGATGATACGAAAGGTACTGCAAGCAAAGCAACTAAGCATCAATGTGGTGAATAAAAAAAAAAAGACCAAACATATTTATTTCTAAATAAAAAAAAGTTCACAGTTTCTTGATTCGAATTTGGGTATAGTTGGGGCAGCTCGACTTCCAACGAAAGATATTCATTTCTAGATATTTATTCTATTTGTTGATGAAGTCCAAACAAGCTAAAAAAAATTAAATGACCAAACATATTAGATTGTGTCTCATGAAATATTTTTCTGGCAATAAAAAAAAATCTTCAAGTATTTTCTTGCAAAATTATATAACTTGGGTTTTTTTTAGGATTTCTCTCCAAAATAGTAACGGCGTGTTGATGGCCGTAACAGAGATGGAAAGAAATTAGAAAAAAAAAAAAACAAAATATAATTTGTGTTTGTTTTATTAGCTGTAAAATAGTCTGGATTTTTTCCGGCAACGAAAAAAGTACAAGTTTTTTTATGGCAAATATTAATTAGTTCGGATTTTTTTGGGAATTTAGTAATTTACAAAAAAAATTTGTTGCCACTATAAACTTTTTAGTCTAAAAATACCACAAACACTAAAAATAAATTTTAAGGGTTTATATATAATTTTAAAGTTTGGGTTTGGATTTAGTATTTTGGGTTTAGAGCTTAGTTTTTAGGGTTTAGGATTTATTTTTTAGCGTTTAGAATTTAGTTTTGAAGGAAATATCTTTTAGTGGTATTTTTAAGGAAAAAAAAGCTAGTGCAAAATATTTTTTGAACAAAAATCTATTTTGGTGGTATTTTTGAGAATTGCCAAAAAAAAACAATCAATTTAACCGAAAACGTGAACACCAAATCTTTTTATATATATAACTAGGTAAAAATAAAATTTGTCGTCTATTACATCATCATAACTAGGGAAGTTCCAACGTAGTCTGGTTAAGCCCAATGTGTTTGTATCCATCATATGATCATAAACAGTCAATAAAGTGTTATCAAATGTAAAAACTTGATACCTATATACACTAAATACCTATATAAACTTGAAAAAAAATTTCATTTTTGGTTTTACCTATCATTATGATTTTCTCATTTTTGGTTTTACCATCAAAATCATTCGTAAAAAATATCATAATATTCGGTAAAACCAAAAATGAGAAATTTGTTCTTGGTTACTAGTGTATTTGTGTCTTTGGTGTTTGGTTTGTGTCTTGGTTCTTTGTATTATGGCTTCTTTTGTCGTAGTTTTGTTGTTCGTTAACATCTGATAACGGGTGTTAGTGCTTCTGTTAGCAGACTTTAACGTCATATCTTTTGTGGTCGGGTCAACGTTAAGTGGATGATTAGAATAACCTCATATGAAATCATGTTTAAAATAGCCTAAAATTTGAAAGTTGGCGATTTCAGTGACATTTTTTGGGGATTTTAATTTACTTGAATTGGGATTCGACTAACAGAATAGTTAAATGCTTGATAATGGCTGTTAGTGATTCCATTATCGGATTTTAACGCATGAAAATATTGGTCAGGTCAAAGCAGTGTGATGTCCAATACGACAGTCAACGTTTAGTTGATGTTTTAAATAGGCTACTATGAAGTTCATGTTTAAAATGACCACAATTTGAAAGTTCGGCGAATTAAATGACATTTTTCTCTATGTTAAATTGTGTTAGTGTATCTATTAAAGATGGAGCTTAATATAAGAAAAGTAAAGTAATGAAAAAACTAGGAAGAATGATAAAAAGAATTAAGATGCAAATTGGTTAAAAAAGATTTTATGGGTATATAAATTGCTAATTTATTATTTTACCTAACAAACTTTATTTTCATTATGCCACTAGAAAATAGTAGCTAGTTCGAGAATATTGTTTGAATTAAATTTTTGTGATTCATATATAACTGGTCTGACATTAAATTAAAGTCTTAAGATTTATAATTGATGAAACATGAAAAATTTCTAAATTTTAATTTTTTGACTTATAAAATTATGTAGACTTAGTTTCCATAAATAGTTAACATTTTAAAAAATATTACACTAAGTGATCTAACTTCTTAAAATGTGGATATAATAAATAAATAACTTTTATTATTTATTATCCGTGCAAGCCCAATCAGAATATGCATAAAGTTTTTAAATTCAGAATATGCATAAGTTTTTAAGTTTACAAGAAAGTGACCCCAACACTTTAAAAACACACTTTAGAATTAACGAAAATTTAGCTGAAGTCAGATTTGGTGATAAAAATACGAGTCTCCAGGTTTCTTGTCACCACCATCACTAGATGCTCCTCCAAATCCAATGGTCTGGGTCACTCCAGAAACTAGATTAGTAACCATGGAGGTTCCCCAATAGACCCACCCGGTTTCATTTCCATGTCGCTCAGCCTCAACGCCAATCCTCTGTTGCTGCTCTGCCATAATCTCACCCCATCTCTTCCTCATAAACTCTCTAACCGCTTCAGCTCCTTGACCAGCTACTTTTTGAGACGGGATCTCAAGCGGGTTCTCGTCCAAGTTCAGTTTCTCCAGCTTCCTCAGCCTGTAAAATGAGTCTGGTATTGCTTGGATTTGGTTGTTGCTTAGATCAAGCTCCCTCAAGTTAGTTAGATCAGTGATTGTATCAGGAACACCCATCAAGTTGTTGAAATTGCTGCTTAGGTTTAGAACCTCGAGTTTCGTTAGTCTCCCGATAGAATTTGGTATCCCGTGGATCTCGTTCATGTGTGCGTCAAGATACTTCAGATTATACATTTCGCTTATCGAACCTGGAAAGTAACGGAGTTTGTTCAGCTGGATCGATAATCTCTCCAGGTTCTGTAATCCGTATCCAATATTTGTAGGCAATGTAGTCAAGTTGTTGTAGCTTGCATCTAACTCAACCAGTGACCTAATTTATGAAAATCATTGAAACCTCAGGACAAAAGTACAAACAATATACAGAACATTTACAAGAAAAGACAAGAGCTCGAACCTGCAATGCGCGATGCTCTCAGGGAGTGCGGTTAGATTGTTCCCATTCACATTAAGGATCCTAAGGTTAAGCAACATCCCTATAGAGTCAGGAAGAGATTCAAGAGAATTCGAAGATACATCGAGCTCTTCTAGCTTCTTGAGTTTCGAGATTGCTTCAGGTATAACCTGTAAAATGTTTACATAACAAAATCAGTTTCACACATTGCAGGAAGCATTTAAAAACAATGACAATTTCTTTCATTCCAAGAAGCATCAAAAACAATATAGTTTCTTGTATTCCAAGATTCTGCAAAAATTAGATCTATCAATGTCTTTTTCGATATAATTCATGAGATTCTAGAAACTATAATCGAGATTTAATATGATCGAGACACAGTTCAAAATTTTGGGGATCTTAGTATTACCGTCAAGTCATTGCCAGAGAGATTCAAGTAAACTAAGCCAACTACTTTCCAAAACGCTTCAGGGAGAAGCTTAAGTTCTTGGCCAGAGAGATCGATCCTCTCAACGATTTCGCCGGATTCCGCCACCTTGAGCACAGCAACAACCTCCTCATTCACTTCTTCGCCGCTTCTCAACAACGATTCCACCTCCGTAGCATAAACCCTAGAAAGCTCCTCCTCTATATCCTTCAACTTCTTCTCGTAACTATCGTGTACCTCATCCAACCGCACAACTCCGGTGTAAATCTCCGACTCCTTTGCCGCTTCTTCCGGCGAGAGCGAATCCATAATCTGAGCGATCTTGGACCGAGCAGAGGAGACCGCCAAGGGATCGGGACGAGAGCCGAGAGAGTTGAAGACGAAAAGCGTCTGTGTGATGGTTGTGGGGATGGATTGAGTCAAAGAAGACATGACTTGAGGATCGGAGAGAAGAGGAAAAGAAGGAAGGAGAGTTTCTTGCGCAGCCATAGACGGCGGCGCGTGGAGATTGGAGTCAAGTTGGTGAAGGACATAAGAGAGTAAAGGGAATTTGTCGAGATCGTGATCCATGGTTTTTGTGATTATTAGTCAAAGCTAATTGAAGATTAAGAGAGGTTTTAGTAAAGGTATATTCATGGTTGAACAAGTCAGAAATATTGAAGTTGATGTTGCCATGTTTGTGATCAGAAGGTCTAGTGGGTTGAAAAGTGTCGAAGTTGACCGATGAAATTAATAAGATTCCATGATGACAAAGTCAGGAAGCCATCTTTTTTGAATAATCGAATCAAGACCAATCCGGTCCAGTTAATGCAATCGGATATGGAATATGGCATTAACGAGCTTATGCAATCTTCTAAAAAAACAACTGTTAATTAATAGTTTGAAATTTGATCTAAGGACTTGATCCATGAAACCAATGTAGTTTTGAGCTACATATTCTTCAATCTATATACATCCGAATATCCGATATACAATGAAACTTGATCGTTTGTTGAATTCCGAATGCGAATAAAAAACTTCGGATCAACTGCGAAGCACTTCTATCTTACATCATATGTGTTTCACATTTTCTTTGCTAATATTCGATAGGCAAGTAAAGTTTTGACTTACCTAATGCTGAAAAAGTAAAAACTTATTTGAAAAATGCTAGTGTTTGTTTCCCAAGTCAAATATCCCATTATTCGACCCACATCTTCCGGAACTAGCTACAAGATTCAACTCATATTGCTTTTACCATCAGTTTTCTGTTTGGTTGTGAATTGAACAATCAACAAAATCCAAACGTATATCAATGAACTTGGTATCAGGATAAGATACCAATAATCCTTAGAGATGCTTGATGGCCTAAAATGCCTAATTTCGTCGTGTTTATACCGCCTAATTCCTCTTATCAATTGCCATAGTCCCTAACTCCCTATAAATATAATCTCTAATAGGTCCACCACCTAATTTGTGAGCTTAAAATATCTGAAAATTCAGAACTCACGTCGCTTTTTTAGGTCATTAAAGTTTTCATTTCCCACAGTCCAAGACCTCAATTTTGTTATTGGATATAACTTGTACTTGGTGTCTTCTCCTCCCCCACCCAAACTCTATAAATTCATGAATATCACTTTTCCAATAGTCTTAAAAACTAAGTAATTATTATTTGTACTTCTCCACACCAGCTGTATTTCGGGACCCATCTTTTTAATTAAAATCGAATCTTATCATCATCACTATCACTTCTTCTTCTTTTATTCCCAAACATTTTTTTTGTCAAAATTATTCCCAAACATTTCTCAATCCTTTATTTCAATTTTTGTCTCTCTTCTATTTCTCCAAGCTTATCCCTTTTTTTTTTTTTTGTCATTCTCCAAGCTTATCCCGTTTCGAATTTCGTCTACCATAAAAGTTAAATCAGAAAAATATTTATAGTGTTAATGTGAAAATGATATTAAGAAACTGGACCACATACCATAAACGAGAAAAATCGATCATGCCTTTGCTCGAATTTTATAAGGATAAAGTAAATTACCTGCAAACGAACATAAAATGATTGGAAGTTAGCTCAACAGAAATTGAATAAACCAAAAAAAAAAAAAAAGGTTTAACCAACACACACGAATAAACAAACAAACGGGTGGTGGACCGGTCCGGTTAAACGTTGACGGGGAAAATGCAACGGCAATAGACGGACAAACGCTAAGATAACGGAACAAAAAAAAAAAAAAAAGAATTAAACTCACTCACCCAATTCATCATCATCACCAACAAAAAGGAAAAAAAAAAAGCTTTGGGATGATTTCATTAATGGCGATGGTCAGATCACGTACACCCTTCTATTATATCTCTCGCTCTTTTACATTTTATAAAACAACGAAGATACTTTTTTTTTTAATTGTATATTCCGACGATTCTTCACATTTTTCTTTTCATGTTATTGCCAGTGATTGCCGTTGTGAACAAGGTAGATATTTCTCGAATTACGGTGAACATAACAACCGTAACACGGATTCTTCGTAACCGTCGTCATTCTCGGTGGCGACGGAGGAAGCGGTGGTTTAGATAACGACGGAGATCTAGGACTTGATGAAGAAGAGGAAGTTGTAGAAGATGATGACGTGGTAGATAACGGTAACGCTAACGGAGGCGGTGATTTTCTAGATCCGACGGCGGATTTTGGTGGATTTAAGAAGACTCTGATTTTCATCGGAGAAGATGAAGCAACGAGATCGTACTCTTCGATTAGATTCGCTAGATCTTCATCGGAAGTAATTGAAACGAGCGCGTCGAGATCTTCCATCGGAAGCTGACATCGGATCGTTACGGTTGTAGATCCGCCGCCGCCGCCACCGCCACCGCACATCTCCGCCATTTTCGACGCTAACTCTGTTAACACGCACCACACGCGTGGCCTTAATTTCTCTCTCCACAAAACCGATTTTCGTTTTTTTTTTTCGAAATTCAAAATTGACAATGAGATCGAGAGCGTGAACTAACCGGAAAATGAGATGGAGCGAGGAACGGCGAGGACGCGAGTGTGACCGCCGTTGTAACGGAGTTTGCCGTCGGGATAACGAGGTAAGATTTTGCCGCCATAGCTACAGAGAAATTTGATTGTTGAGTTCGTCGGAGATGCAACCATAACTGTAGAGAGAGAAGAGATGAAGAAGGAAGAAGGAAGATTCTAGAAGATTGGTTTGTTCTGTGCAAGCCAAGTGAAGAGTAACGTTAAGAGCGTATTTATAGCGATTCCTGAAATTGAGTAAACAAAGATAGTGAAGGGTAGGATCGTCATTTAGTTGACCCATTAAATTACGTAATCCTTTATTTTATTTTTTCTTTAATGAAAAAAACCCGTAAAAAGATAACGAAATTTACTGATAAGTTAATTTAACTTTTTGTGGGGAGTACTATGAATGGATACTATATAGTATATACAGCATTTTCAAATTTATCCAACTGGTGCACATTTAAAATTGGATTTATAAATTGGCCTTTATTTTAAAACTTTCTTTGATACATAAAGTATTGGGAAATTGTTAAAAATACCCCTTTTGGTGTGCTCCTTTTCAAAAATGTCCTTTTTAGATGTCAATTTTCAAAAATGCCCCTCTTTAAATCAGAAATTTTTATAAAGTTCTATTAGGTTCATAAGGTACTTATGGATTGTTAACTACTACTTGAAGACTCGATCCAAGTATTTATAAGGTTTTCTAAGGTGTTTTTTAAAGGTTTTACAAGTTATTTTAAAGGATTTTTAAGGTTTTTCAAAGGTTTTACAAGATATTTTAAAGGTTTTTAAAGGTATTTAAAATGCATTTATAAGATTTTAGATACATAGAAATGTAGTTTGTGTATGTTTTAATAATATTACATACATATTTGGGTAAGTCTTATATTTTTAAGAGCATTTTTTATAAGGTTTTAAAAAAGGGGTATTTTTGAAAAGTGGCATTGAAAAAGTGGCATTTTTGCAAAAGCCCCTAAAGTATTTTGTATTAAAAAATATTGCAAAGAAGTTATTATAGTTTAAAAGGGTGTACTCAAGCTCAAAATTGGCATACAAAAAGTTTGCGCAAAAATTATACTTTCAATAGTTTGCACAAAATAGACCAAAAAAAATATTGGACTAAAAAAGTTTGCTAAAATCAAATTACAAAAAAAGTTCTAAATAGCACAAAAATAAGTTTTGTTACCAAATTTAGTACATAATCTCCAAAGTTTCAAAATATCACAAATTTAATATTAAAAAACTAATATAAGCATTTGATTAACGTTTTACGCAATCGTGTATTATAACTGTGAATTTAAACTAGAATTAATTTTATTATTTTACATAGCAATTTTAGTTCATCTTCTTTAAAAAAACAATTCCATGATTTTATTATCCACTACGTCTATTGTCGTTGCATTTTCCTGTCAATGTTAACTGAACTGGTCCGTCACATATTACCATATACCTTATCTAGTCGTCTGTTACATTCTTCTGTTTTGCTTGAGTTGTTACCGTTTCGATAGCGTAATTATCGCCGTTTGTTTTGGTGTGTTGGGTTAAACCCTTTTCTTTTAAAAGGTTAAAAAAATTCTTTTTTAAAAGGTTAAATTAAATTACTAAATAAGGATAAAATAGTTATTATGTAAAATCACTAATGCCAATTTTGAAAATTTGTGAAGTATGTGCTACAATTGTCCATAAAATTTGTTTTAATGCTATTCTACAATATTTCTCAAATAATCTAGAGAAGTTCAAATTGGTCTTTATTTGAAAACATTATTTGATACATAAAGTGTATTTTTAAACCTTCATTTTCACAAAAGTTTTGTTTTTATTGAAACCAAAGAAAACAAAAATGCTTGCTTGTCATGAAGATGCATTCTTGATTCTTTGTAGAACTCTTCCACAAACTTAAAACTCACTCCCAAGTTACACCAAATGTTAGCAATGATGTTTTATCTTCATTTTTGCTGCATATTCAAAATTGCGAGAGTGTATAAGAATTTTGGATTTTTGGACGGAATCTTATGTTTTGTGATGATGATTGAGACGAACTTGGCGAAAAGCTTTGTAATTGTTGTAGTTTGAGCATCAATTAATCATCTGAAAAACTATTAACGGGGAAGATAAAATGAATAGCAGCTCGAGGAGCTTTGATACTTTTATTTTATGATATTAGTCTAGAGACTTATGATATAGTTTTTTGTTTTATATATTACTTTTAGAGAATTAAAAAAAAGTTTTATAAAATCTCAACTAATATTCAAATAAATCATATTATTATTTTTTATTTTATTTTATATTATTATTTTCTTACCTACAACATTTATTGCTTTTGGGACATAATTATTTACGAATTCATTTACTGATATTACAGAGAAAACATTTATCAAATTTAGTAACCTTTTTGTTAAATATTAAATTTTTTTTTCAACCATCAAATATCATCAACATAAATAGATGAATCAAAAGATAATTTTATAAAAATTTTAATGAAAAAGTAATAATTTTGATAAATTTTTATTAAATGTTTAAAATTTTTATTTAGATCTAAATATATACATATATATATATTATAATTTTAGTAGTGCTTTTTTAATTGTTAACAACATAAATATACAGTATAAACTTGAACCTGAATGAAATGATCGATCACATTAACAAATGTTATAAGGTACATGTTATTGTCTGTTAGCATTGATTTTGGAAATATAAATCATTTATTTTAGCAAAATTGGTATACTTTCAAGTTTCAAGTATTCAGATTAAATTGCCACTTTTAGCTTCTTTTAGTGAACATTGTTCCCAACTGTTGTGAGCAATATGAGAGATTTTATCTCTCTGATTTAATGTTGAATGTAGTTCGGTTATATATATGTCTTGTGTATAGTTGGTTATCTCTCTTAGTATTTAAGCTTGCTATTAAAATATCTCACATTGCTTGGGATTAAGATCTTTGGATAATATATAAAAGATGTGGCAATCCTTAACTCTTAAGCTAGCTTTTGGGTTAAGTTAGACCACATTCCGAATATGGTATCAAAACCCAAGGTTGGCCCAACAAGCAAATTTCTCACAAAAATGGTTTCCCACCTATGTGGCCCATATAAGTGCATGTCTTGTTGTATTTCCGAGATGTTGGGCTTGGGCTGTTTCCCGTTGGACCGTTTCCCACCCACATCTCGAAGAGGCCTATTAGAATGTCCCACATTGCTTGGGATTAAGATCTTTGGGTAGTATATAAATGATGTGACAATCCTTAACTCTTGAGTTAGTTTTTGGGTTAAGTTAAGCCACATTCCAAATACTTGCTTTATATCATTATTTACGTTTAATGAAGATTTCACGATTGTTGGATATGGTATCAGAGAAAAAATCTCTCAACCTCCATTCACTTCTTCGCTTGATTCAATGTTTTGATTCTTTGTTATTCCTTAACGATTCTTTACTTGATTTTCTTTGAGATTTTGGTTGTCCCTCTCTGGTTTAATATTGAATGTAGTTCGGTTATCTATCTTGTGTATTATTGGTTATCTCTCTTAGTATTTAAATTTGTTTTGTATCATCATTTACTTTTAATGAAGATTTCACCATTGTTGCTAAACAAATTTGACAGTAATAAAGAAGAACAAAGAGTAACCTATTGGGACCCACTACCACATGGGCCACACATAGAGATGGTCCATAGGACTTTGCAATTGCATGGCCCGTAATGCAAATACCCATTCAAGCATTTGGGATAGCCAATAAAATTTTAAATAATGTGCCATACATACACCAATATAAATATTTTTGTTTTGAAACTTGAGTTTAATTAAGAACGTAATTAAATTCTCTAACTTACGTATAGCCACAATTAAAAAAAATTCAAGATATTAGGATGAAAAAGTGTTTAATGTATATATTGATAATGATGTATATATGCTAATCTTTCAACTAGATATAAAGATAATATTAAAGGTGGATAACAAAAGAAAGGAGATAAACATAGAAGTGAAAGAACAAATTCAAGGTTACATCAACATTATCCAATGATGTCATGTATACACAGACTATGAAAAATGCAAAAAATCGAATATTCTTTTGGAAATATGCTTTTGTATCTCCTATAATAAATACATATATATATATATATATATATATATATATATATATATATATTTAAAAAATGGAAATGATAATGATTTATCTTTGTGTATACGTGTGTATCAGTA